AGGCCCTTGATGGTAGTATCTGGGTATTGTTGCTAGTTATTCAGGGACCAACGACTCTTCTGTTAGGTGATGAATGCTGCCAGGACTGGCTCCTTTCCTTCAAGGCCACAAGTTCCTTTCAGGCCCAAATTGTGTCTAGAAATGTGTCTGGGAGCTAGGGCCTGGAACGAGGGCCTCACAACTCTGTCTGGTGCCCTATCCTACTGTGGCTTGGCTGGTATCCAAGAGGTAAGACAAAGTCCACCCCACTTTTCCCTCTCCTCTCCTCAAGCAAAGGAAGGGGTCTCTTTTGGAGCTGCAAGCTGTGCAGCCTGGGGTGAGGGGAAGGGTGATGTGAGCACTCCCTTGGCTGCCCCAGCTGTTGCAGTACACTTCTTTTTATTCCTCCTACTTGGAATTTGTTGTGCTTCCTGAATCTCAAGAATGGATGCCTTTAATCCATCCTGGAAATTCACATAACATAAAATTCACCACTGTAAATTAATTCAGTGGCTTAGCTCTTATATTTTGAAATATTGTCTCTTCCTTATTCTATTCATGCGCTCTTTCAGGAACTCCAAGTTATATTAGATTTTCTTATTCTATCCTCAATGATTCTTAGCCTCTCTTTCATGGATTCTGTCTTTTTGCCTGTTTGTGCTATAATACGTATAATTTCTTCAGTTCTGTCTTTGAGTTCAATAAATTGTACTTCAACTGTGCCTATTCTGCTGTCTAGCCAATCTACTGAATTTATTTCAGTGGTAATATTTTAATTTTTAGAAGTTACACATTTGATTCTTTTCTGAAACCTTCCGGTCATTGCCTATGCTCTCTTAATGTTTTGGATACCTTTGGAGGAACCATGTTGAAATGGAACCTGGCTTCTTTAACATTTATTTTCTGTTAACTATTCGAAAATTTCAAATCCGAAATATTTTGGTGTCTTAACCAGGTACTCCAAGATGCTACCAATCAGGTACACTTTTAAAGGTTTAGGGTTTCCCGGATGCTGCAGGTAAAGAAATTTGAACCATAAATCCAAGTGATAGGGGGTTATTATTAAAGATCCTGGCCAGGCACGGTGGCTCACGCCTGTAATCCCGGCACTTTGGGAGGCTGAGGTGGGCAGATCACCTGAGGTCAGGAGTTTGAGACCAGCCTGGCCAACATGGAGAAAGCTCGTCTATACTAAAAATACAAAAATTAGCCAGGTGCAATGGTGCATGTCTGTAATCCCAGCTACTCAGAGGGCCGAGGCAGGAGAATTGCTTGAACCCGGGAGGTAGAGGTTGCAGTGAGCAGAGATTGTACCACTGCACTCCAGCCTGGATGACAGAGTAAGACTCTCTAAAGAAATAAATAAATAAAGATTCTCAGGTGAGAGTTTACAGTTTTTATTTTTCTTTCCTACCCAGAGCAAAAGAGTATAGTCCTTCGAGTGTACTAGTGTTTGTTGGGGCCTGGAATCTAACTCAACTTTGTTCAGGCCAAAGGTCTTTCCTTCTTGCTCCAGAACAGTCATTAAAATTCAAGGCTCTTTTTACTGTATTTGAGGTGTTTTTGTCTAGGAATAGTTTTTCAGTGCATGCCAGGTCACTAAAAGGAACTAAAGTCTTTGACAGTGGAATAACTCCTGGACAATTTTATATTAAATATACAAATCAGGAGTTGTGATTTTAAAACCACATGAAGTCAGATTGTATTTTCTTAGCATTTACGGGTAAAGAACAAAAATAAAAACTATTTCATGTATGACAAAAGTAATTGGGGCAGGGCGCGGTGGCTCACGCCTGTAATCCCAGCACTTTGGGAGGCCGAGGCAGGCAGATCACGAGGTCAGGAGATCGAGACCATCCTGGCTAACACAGTGAAACCCTGTCTCTATTAAAAATACAAAAAATTAGCCGGGTGTGGTGGCGGGCACCTGTGGTCCCAGCTACTCAGGAGACTGAGGCAGGAGAATGGTGTGAATCCGGGAGGTGGAGCTTGCAGTGAGTCAAGATCACGTCACTGCACTCCAGCCTGGGCAACACAGTGGGACTCTGTCTCAAAAGAAAATAAAAAAGCAAAAACAAACAAATAAAAAAAGTAATTAGGAAGAGGTGTATTTTAGGATAATATGGATATGACAGCCATAAGAAAAATAGTACAGTTTTATCCTTACTAATAAATATCATTGCTTAAAATGTTTGATTAGCACCCTAAAAAATGTATCTTCTTGCATATTGTTAAAGGAGTTGGCTCTGATGCATAAATGTGAACATCTATTAACACGATGAAATCAGTCCACAACAGAACTGTTAGTTTAAGCCGTGTTTGGGCAACACATATCTTTCTTGAAAAAGAATTAGACTGAAAGAGCTGATTATTCCTTAAAAGCCATTTAGCACAACCTACATCTCCTACATTAATTTGTAATGTTTCATACAAATTGAGTTCTTTTCAGTAGTTTGGTGAATGGTATGTCACTTTTTGGATGGCAGCACTTATTTTTGAAGATTGCTGTTAAGTGGAAGAAAACTGGCTACTTTCTATGTCAATATTTTGTTAAATATTTATTGCTTTCTCTAGGAGTTCTCCATCAGTTTCCATGACAGAGTCTAGCAGTAGATGTACCAAAAAAATCTCCCGGGAATATCTTGTTTAGATTTACTTTGAGGAACCACTAACTCATCCTTATGGGTCCAGAAGGAAGCTATGGGCACAGTCCTGTGAGCCAGCCTCTGCACTTGAGAGTATGTAGAACTCCTGGGGGAGTAGAGGGGGATCCTAATATCAGGGAGAAAAGCTCCTTGTCTGTAAATATGAAAAGTGAAACAAATGTTGAGTTTCAGGGTGCTTAGTGATAAATCAGTGAAGAAGAAGAAGAAGAGGAGGAGGAGGAGGAGGAGGAGGAGGAGGAAGAAGAAGAAGAAGAAGAAGAAGAAGAAGAGGAAGAAGAAGAAAAAGAAGATGAAGAGGAGGAGGAAGAGGAGGAGGAGGAGGAGGAGGAAGAAGAATTATTAAAGAAACAAAGCTCTAGCTTTTGCTGATCAAATACCTTGAGGTCTGCGGAGGCTTCAGAGCTAGACTAGCTCTTTAATCCCTTCTTCATGTAAGATCCCTAGGTATTCTCTTACCCTTGTGTGATCCCTGCTACACATTTAAAATGACTTTTGTGAAATTTATCTGGTATCTAAGTGTTTGGTTGCAGGAGAGTTTAAAAACAAAACCTGAATGCCCTATTGCCAGAGGCAGACTATCTTAGGCATCTTGTATCCCTTATTCTGAATATTTAGTAGGTAACCATGACGTTTTTTGTTAACTTCAATAATGAGCACATTAATCTAATCATGGTTAAAAACAAAAGTGAGAGAGATACTATCAGCTTTATTTTTGAGCAGTGGTTTATCCCAAATACATGTATTTTATCAGCTACTCTTTCTGTTTATAATCTGGCCTTGGAATTCCAGAAGACCATATAATGAAGAGAAATAATAATCAAAACAGCACCACATACCCATTTTATTTTCTTTCCAAAGCAAATTTAGATGATATATTACTTTTTGTAACTTGGTACCTTTTCCAGAATGCTTTTCTTTGCCCCAGCAGCAAATAACAACAAAATCCCTGAAGCCTCCAAATATTTGAAACTATTTTTCTTGGAGTTTCCATGGTATCTTGATGTAAATGGATCTGAAAAGCCTTTGCAGATAAATATGTGAAAATAAATTTTATATCACTTCTAAAATCTGGCAAGGGAAATTATCTCTAAAGATATTCATCTCATTGATTTGGCAATTTTACTAAACTTTAATCACCATTTAAATATTTTCATTGTTGAAGAGTACATGTTCCCATAAAGTAAAGATTCAGCCACCCAGAGCTTGAAGGATAAACATATAATTTCCACAAAGGTCTTATAAGCCTTAGACACAGTTGAGTAATAATGCAGAATTAAATAGTGCTGTCAGCACTGAATCTACCAGTGAGACCAACAGAAGTCAAAGTGGGTGGCATATTTTGACAAATGGTATCAGCAGAATATCATAAGATTCAGGATAGCTCAGAAGACTAAGCTTCATGTCTAATTAATCCTGAAACATTATTTAATTGCCCAAATTAACTGTCATATTAATTCATGTTCCTAAGTTCATAGTGGAAGGAGACCAATTCTAAAGAGATCTTAGTCTGGCCATTTAAAAAGTCATCCTCATTCAGGACAGTTACTCAATTTTAATTTAATTCTTCATTTCAAAGAGGAATCACTTATTTTGAATAATAAGTTATTGTATAATGTGTTCTAAGTGAAAATTAATTAGTAAGTCACCAGTCACATTTAGTGAAAATAGAAAACATACTTCCCTTTGTTTTCAGAAATAAGTAATTGCTTTTGTCAGTCCACAGAAAGCTGTTGACCATCTGCTTTTCCTAATACTTTGAACACTGTGGAGGAAGTGTCTGAAGTAGAATAACAGTGCATTTATGATTGTTCTAGGAAACAGGAAACCAAGAATTGGATGAATTGTCTGGGTGCAGTGGCTCATGCCTGCAATCCCTGCACTTTGGGAGGCCAAGGAAGGAGGATTACCTGAGGTCAGGAGTTCGACACCAGCCTGGCCAACATGGTGAAACCCTGTCTCTACTAAAAATACAAAAAAAAAAAAAAATTAGCTGGGTGTGATGGTGCATGCCTGTAATCCCAGCTATTCGGGAGGCTGAGGCAGGAGAATTGCTTGAACCTGGAAGGTGGAGGTTTCAATGAGCCAAAATCACGTCACTGCACAAATGAAATATGTAGACATAATCACTGCCTATGAGCCAAAATACAAATTTTTCTTTTAAATGTTAACATTACATTGAAAAAGAAAAGAAACTGTGTTTTCCTTAGTTTCATTATAATAGAGATATAACAATATTTTAATTAAAATGCATAGAAAGCATAATAATGTAATTCAGCATAAAAATAGTAATGTACACAGAGAGCTTATAGTGTGATCTGAGTTTGCACAAGTGGGTGAGCTGTAGTTCTTTTCCAGGGGAAGACCGTGTGCGGATCTGGACCTTCCCAGATAGCAGTTCTGACCGTGGCCTTCTAGCATTCACTCTCCTGGCTCTCATCACTCCACAGATTGAGAAGAAAGCTCCGCCAATGATCCCACCATTTCTTTGTGATACACATAAGAAAGACTCACTGAATTACTTTAGTGAAATCTTTGTTAAATGGGCCTTTGTGTATATGGTACTGTGTTGGGTTGCTTGTATTCAGAAATTAGTCACATTGATACTATGTCTGCTCCATGAAAACCTGTATTACTGTATTAGTTCTCACACAATAATACAAAGGGAAAAGAAACCAATTTAGTAAAAACACAGACTATGTTATTCATAGATTTGAGCTCAAGGATAATTACTGAAAGCTAATCTTTTTAAATAACATATATGCTGATTAAAAGGCAACTCTAAATATGAGTTGGTTCTCTGTTTTCATAATGAAAAAACACAAAGTTTTGGGTCAAGATGAACATATGAACACAATGGATGTTAACAAAATAGTGAATGTTTACTTGAGCTAGTTAATATGAATCTGGTTATACAATCATATTTGAAATAATATTATAAAAACATACCAATTTGAAATATTTCTTCTCATTTCAGAAATAATTTTACTCAAATTCTTCAAATTCTTGAAGACAATAGTCTTCATTATCAGAAGAGCCACTATTTGAGCCATCTAATTTTTTCTAATTCTAAACGGTTTTTAAGATAAAATACCTTTGAATTGGCATATGATACTATAATTGTAAATTTTATTCCAAAACAAAGTAACCAATTGTGAAACAGTAGAACAATTGTTTTACATTGTCCCATAAGACATACATTTGTTATCTCCACAAAGCAAAGGTGAATTGCTTTATAAAAAACTGATCTTAATAATCTTGTTTATATCCATATCCCAACACTACAATTTGAAGGTCCTACCTGGAAGAATAATTACCAAATCTGTACTAAAAGTCTTTGTCTCTTTTATTAGCTCAGTTAGATGACTTTTTAAGATTCCCCATATAGCTCTAATTGACATCTTTTCAGGCTAATTTGTCTTTCCTAAATAATTTGTAATTAAAATAGGATAATTGGAATAATGCTTCCATCAAACAAGAGTCTTGGAGAGGACTTGGATATTAAGTGTCTTAGTCCATTTGGGCTGCCACAGCAGAATATCATAGAGTGAGTGCTTTGTAAACAACAAATATTTATTTCTCATAGTTCTGAAGTTGGAATTCCAATATCAAGGTGCCTGCAGATTCAGTGTCTGGCGAAGAACCGCTTCCTCATTCATAGTGGCGGTCTTCTCATTGTGTCTTCACAGAGCAGAAGGGGAGAGGGAGATCTCTGGGGTCTCTTTTATAAGGACACTAGTCCCATTCGTGAGGTTTCCTCCAGGCTTCCTCCCTCATGACATAATCAACTCCTAAAGACTCAGTCTCCTAATGCCATCACTTTGGCAGTTAGGATTTCAACAGATGAATTTGAGGGGACATAAACATTTACGTTTATGTAACTCCTTTAAGTAACTCCTTTTCTCTGAGGACTTATTTGGTAAAACACAAAAACAAACAACATTCTTCAAATAACTTGGCCTTTATTTTTGCCTGACAGTTAATCACATTTTGTTGTAGTTTTGTCTTTGGTATTATTGTTCCTTAGGGTAAAGTTTTTCAACCATTGAAGCCACAGAAAATCTTTAAGGTATTTAACATATACATGTTTAAGCATTTACACACTGCTAATAAAGAAATACCTGAGACTGGGTAATTTATAAAGTAAAGAGGTTTAATTGACTCAAAGTTCTGCATGGCTGGGGAGGCCTCAGAAAACTTAAAATTGTTGCAGAAAGTGAAGGAAAAGTAGGCACCTTCTTCACAAGGCAGCAGGAGGAAGGAGAGGAGGGGAAACTGGCATTTAGAAAGCCATTAGATCTCGTGAGAATTCACTCGCTATCACGAGAACAGCATAGGGGAAATCACCCATGATCCAATCATCTCCCACCAGGACCCTCCCTCAACATGTGGGGATTATGGGGATTACAATTTGAGCTGAGATTTGGGTGGGGACACAGAACCAAACTATATCAACATGGCATGGTGGTTTTAAAAATGCCTACAAATTCTTTGACACTACTCCAATAAAAATATAGAGCCCAATTCCCCTTCTCTTGAATATAAGTCAATCTAAGTGACTCAAGTTTAACAAATGAAATGTTCTGAAAGTGATGTTGTGTGAGTTCTGAGGCTAGGTTGGAAAAGACAAGACAGTGTCTGCCTGGTGATCTTTTTGTCTTTCTGTCTATCCCTCTCTCTGAACCAGCGCCATGTTTTGAGGAAGCCTAGGCTCCATGGAGAGGCCAATAGCCAAGACTAAAGTCTCAGCCAAAAGCAAGCATCACCTGCCAGATACGTAAGTAAATGAGCCATTGGATGATTCCGATGGCTAGCCTTTGAGCTGCCTCAGCTAACATCAAGTAGAACTCTGACCATCTTGTAGATTTGTGAGCAAAATGCATCCTGTTGTTGTTTTAAGCTATTAAGTTTTTGGGGTGGTTTTTTATGCAACAGAAGATAACCAAAACACACAGATCATAGGACTACAGAACAGTATGTGTCTTACAGAGTAAATGATTAATAAAGAATTCCCAAATGAATAAACACATGAATATGATTATAGTAAATCAAAGTGAATATAATTTCCATTTTCCAATGGCAACGCTGATATATTTTTTTCTGACATCATTATTCCTCAAAATGCTGTTATGGACTAAACTGCCTCCCTCCCAAATTCCTATGTTGAAGCCCAAACCCCCCAGTGTGACTATATTTGGAGATAGGGCCTTTAAAGTGGTAATTAAGGGTAAATGACATCATAAGGGTGGGGCCCTAGGCCAACAGAACTGTGTGTGACCTTACAAGAAAAGGAAGAGACACCAGGGATATATGCACGGAGAAAAAGCCATGTGAAGACAGGGTAAGAAGACAGCCATTTGCAAACCAAGGAGAGAAGCCTCAGGAGAAACCAAACCTGCTGACACCTTGATCTTAGACAGCCAGCCTCCTAAACTGTGTGTGAGACAATACATTTCTATTATTTAAGTCACCCTGTCTGTGGTGTTTTGTTATGGCAGCTGGAGCAGACTAATATACATGTCAGACATGTACCCTTCTCAGGGCCTTATACTTGCTGGCCCCTTTCCCTGGGGCGCTCTGCTCCCAGATAGCCACAGAGTTTGTTCCCTTACTTTATTCAGATCTCTGCTCAGATGGTACGTCAACAGAGGCCTTCCCAGGCCACCTTATAAAGGGCAGGTCCTGGCTCAACTGACTCCTTATCCTCTTACCTGCTTTAGATTGTCTTCATAGTGCTTATCACTACTTCTCATGGTATTATACATTTGTCTCTGTTTTTCTGTTTTCCCCAAAGGGAAGTAAAGTTCTTGAGGGCAAGAACTGTGCCTAATTTAGATTACTGTGCTATCCTAGGTCCTGCAACACTGCCAGGCACAAAGTAGCAGCTCAATAATGTTGAATGGGTTTTTAAAAATGGATACTTTTAGGTTAACAATGAATAAAGGACCTGTGCCAGGTGTGGTGGCTCACACCTGTAATCCCAGTACTTTGGGAGGCCTAGGCGGGCAGATCATCTGAGGTCAGGAGTTCAAGACCACCCTGGCCAACGTGGTGAAACCGCCATCTCTACTAAAAATGCAAAAATTAGCCGAGTGTGGTGGTGTGCAACTGTAATCCCAACTACTTGGGAGGCTGAGGCAGGAGAATCGCTTGAACCGGGGAGGTGGAGGTTGCAGTGAGCTGAGATTGTGCCACTGCACTCCAGCCTGGGTGACAGAGCGAGACTGTCTCAAAAAAAAAAAAAAACCAAAAACCAAAAAACAACAAAAACCTGGTTTCAAAAGCAACATCCTCACAAATTAAAGTTAACAAATCCCCATATTTTGTGATGTTGCCACAAAAGACCAGTTTTATCACAAAAGGATTCTAAGAACCATAGGAAGATTAGGTCTCAGGCAGCAGGGAGCCAGAGCCCAGAGCTGCTGGGGGAGGCAAGGAGACCAGAGGTGAGGAGTCCTGGAACAGAAGAGTCTTAGAGGGTCCAGTTCTCACTGAGGACGTGGTTGCACTAACCTTCCAGGTTACAGTGCTTGCATTGGGCTGTGCTACTACATTTTTAAAGATTCTTGGCTAATGTGGGCCAGAGAGATCTTCAATTCAAACTAGAGATTGTTTCCTACCTGATAGGGGCAGCAAGGAGGGGACCTGTGGAGGTGGCTGCTGAGTGGGTAATGCTCTCTGGAAGAGAACTCAGAGTGGAGACCTTGCAGCGCCCTGTCCAGTCACAGGAATTGCCAGGATGCTCAGGGTCTTGGGAACCAGACAGCTTCAGAGGGATCAGCTCAGGCACCTGCGCAAGAGCAAAAGTTATTTTAAAATGTCATTGCTTTAAATCTATAGTTTAATATGAAATTTAAAACAATCAGGTTGATTCACAGCTGCTATAGGAAAGGTAGGGATTAGATTGTAAATTCTGTGAGAACAGGAACCATGTCTCCCTTGTTTACTGTTATAGTCCCAATACCTAAGGAAGTGCCTAGCACATAATAGGTGCCCATTTGCTGAAAATGACATGACGAACACACAAGTAGAAAGAGACAATGAAACTGATTAGCTTTGTGTAGTTCTGATTCCCATCCCAGAACCTTCCCTGGGTCCGAACCCTACTGTACTTGCAGCTTAACAAGAGGAGAGAGGTCTGAGAATCTGTTAGCAGGAAAATGGCAATTCTTATTTCACTTTTGTTTTGCATATATTTAAAATATGCAACCCATATTATGAACCCAAATATGAACACCCCAGCATAGATAAATATTGGGTTATTTCTTTAAAATTCAGATATAATAATGTAAATCAAAGTGTTCAGTAATACTGTTTTCTGAAACATCCTAAGAGCTACAACAAAATAATAAATTTACAAATTACATTTCAAACTTATTATGGTAAGGTATTATATGAAAGAAAACAGCAAATATTCTTCAAACTTTTTTTGAAGTTGTGTAAATAAGTTAAACAAATCAAAGCTAGTATTAGGGGCCAGATTTGGTCGTATTTTAGAAGCATATGTAGAAAACCATTAGGAAAATCAAAATTTGAGTAGATTTTATATTTATTTCTGTTCTGAAAAAAGTTAGTGTTTAATAATATTTAAAATTTTTCTATTAATTACATGTATAGGACATAACAAATTTTAACTTTTAAATTAGGAGATTTCCAAATATATCATGCAGTATACAATTTTTTTTTTTCTAAAAGAATGTAACAATGTTCAGAAAAAAAAATTGCTCCTGGTGAGTGAATGTGTGAATCTGGGAAACCACATTTCTCCCCTGGATCTTTGCAACCCTTGGATCAGGAGATCCCCTCACGAGTCCACTCCACTGGGGCCTTGGGTTTGACACACAGGGCTGCGCAGAGTCTCAGTGGAGCAGCTGCTCAGGCACACACAGAGACCTAGAAACTTTACATACTCAGGCCCCGAGATCCCCAACAAAGGTGACTGCAACTCAGGTGAGACCAAAGGTCTGTACATACCCCTAGGAAGGGGGCTGAATCCAGGGGACCAAGCAGCCTGGGTCGGCAGGCCCCACTTCCACAGTACCTTACAAGATAAGACCCACTGGCTTGGAATTCCAGCCGCTGGCAACGGGGGTGGAGCTGCCTGAGATGGGACAGAGCCTCTTGGAGGAGGGGAGGGCTGCCATCGTTGTTGTTTGGACAGCTCAGTCATTCCAGCCTGTGGGCTTCGGAGAATCTGAAGAGTTTTGACAAGGAAGGGATCCCCCAGCTCAGCGCAGTTACTTTACCAAAACATGGCCAGGCTGCTTCTTTAAGTGGGATCCCGACCCAATCCTCCTCATTGGGCAGGACCTCTCAGCGGGACCTCCAGCCACCCCTGCCTGCCCTCTCACTACAGAGAGAGCTCTGATCTCTCCCTGGGATAGAGTGCCCTGGGGAAGAAAGGGATGCCACCTTTGTTATTTGGATAACTCAGCCATTCCAGCCTGCAAGCTTTGTAGAGTCCAAACAGTCCTGACTAGGAAGGAACCCCCCAGCACAGCACAGCTGCTTTACCAGCATATGGCCAGGCTGTTTCTTGAAGCAGGACCCTGATCCATTCCTCCTCACTGTGCGAGACCTCCAAGCCAGGGCCTCCAGCCACTCCCACCCTCATTCCACAGACAGAGCTCTGATCTTTCCCTGGGATGGAGTGCCTGTGGGGAGGGGCAGGCTGCTACCTCTGTTTGGATGACCCAGCCATTCCAGCCTTCAGGCTTTGAAGAGTACAAGCTGACTGGGGCAGAGGTGCATCCCCAGTACCGCACAGCTGTTTTTCTGAGGCGTGGTCAGTCTGCTTTTTTAAAAGAGACCCCCAGTACATTCCTCCTCATTGAGCAGGCCCCCCAGCTGGGGCCTCCAGCTACCCCCGCCCATGTTCTATGACTGAGACAGAGTGCCTGAGGATTGGGGCCGGCTGTCACTATTGCTGTTTATGCATCTCAGCTGGACCAGCCTGCGGGCCTTGGAGAGCCCAAACCGACCGGAGGCTGAAGGGATCCCCAACACAGCACAGCTGCTCTACCACAATACAGCCAGACTGCTTCTTTAAAGCAGGTCCCTGATCCTGTTCCTGGTAACTGGGTGGGACCTCCCAATCAGGATGTCAAGCCATTTCCTACAGGCGTATTTGGGCCGGAACAAGTCAGTACCCTACTGGAACAGAGCTTCCAG